GCTGCCTTGACATGTAAATATATATTTATAATAATATTAATATTATTACTGATTACGAAAAGCAAATACCAATTATTTACCATCTTGATGAGGATCTTATAATTACCTAGAAAGATCTGCTCCGCGTTTTGATTTCAATTAAAATACTTGTATAAATAAAAGATATATCAATGCAAATTAAAAAAAAGTACTTCTGGTCAGTTATTAACACGTCTTCAGGCAGGTGCCAAACAACAACATGTCATTGTTAAAAAATAAATTGTTTTATACAGTCGAACCCTCGTTTCAACGGACCTCGTTTCAACGGATTTTTGTTTCAACGGATTTTTGGTTTTACCCCTTGATTTTATTAATTATAATTAAAAAATTCTCGTTTCAACGGATTTATATTTAAATCGCGTTTTAGTTTCAACGGACAACGGATTTTTTGGTAGGATTTTAGTAATAGTAACAAGTACTAATCGCGTTACAACGGATTCACGTGATATAGATTTTATAAAAAAAAGAAACACTGTTAAGATTAATTCATTGCTAAATAATAATATAAATAATTCTCACATTACTATTACTAAATAATAATATTAATCAAAATTGTCCATATTTCTAAATAATGATTTTACACAAATAATTAAACGCACATTACTAAATAATAATATTAATCAAATTTTTTATATTTCTAAATAATGATTTTACGCGAATAATTAAACACACATCACTAAATAATAATATCAATCAAATTTTCCATATTTCTAAATTGATAATAAATAAATATCTTCTGATAATTCTACATAATTAACATTTTCTTTGATTTCTTTAAATTAATAAATCTCTAAATTCTGCGAAATTAAAATGTCTCAACAACTATCTTCTTCTTCCAAAAAAAGAGAAAAAGCTTTTGAAACTGCTTTTAATTTTCTTGAACAAAATAATATACAAGTAGATTATAATGAGTTAAAAGCTTTAAAATCATTGAAAAAAAAACAATAAAATCATATAGTATTCAAAATTCAATACAAACAAACATTACTAGTTAATTTTCCAAAAATCTGTTAAACTGAGATATCCACTATATCAAGAAGGTTTTTATTAAGGTTTATTATGAAACTGTTCTTTGAACTTTATCTGTAAAACTGAGATTTTTAATTAGTATCTGCTAAATCAAGGTCCTCTAAATCAAGATTCAATGTGTATGCCAATGTGACTTTGTTACACCATGTCCAATTCCAAATACTAATTGGACATTTGGATCCAGATATTGGACATTTGGACAGATTTGCCAACACTGTGTTTAAGTCTGTTATGTCATTTATTAGCCAGTTAAGCTGTTTAATTATGTTAAGTCATTTATTAACAGGTTAATCTGTTTAATTTTGTTAAGTCATTTATTAGCTGGTTAAGCTGTTAAACCATTTATTAGTCAGCTAATCAGTTAATGTCACCAGGTATATGCCATTTCTTAATGGATAATGATAATAACATAATATGGTTATGGTAAAAAAACAAAGGAATGTTATGCTAAACTGATAGAATGTATTAAAAACGTCCTGTCTGTAAATTCCCTGTTGGTAAAACATCTTGTTGGTAAAACGTCCTGTTGATAAAACGGGGTAGACCCATTTTTATGGTAACACAAAATAATATATATAAAAACTATTTAAATAAAATTGTATCAGAGCCTTCAACTAAAGAGATACAAACATGAGACCAAGGGAAATTATAGAAAATAAATCAAGCTTTTAAGCTATAGATAGTTTTTTTTCTTGCCAAATAAAATTTTTTTTTAATATGTTCTAAAGAAATTGAAAAAAGATTACTAATAGAAAAACTTTATAATCAAATGAGATAGAGGGAAAAACTCTCTATAGATCTATTATAGAGGACTTAAGCAATAAAACTATAAAAAAATTTTGTTTAATTTTATTATGAAAAAAAAAGTTATCATGGTTTAAAGTTATTCGATTTATTATTAAATTTTACCATAAAAATTTATATTGTAACTGATAAATTAATAGAAATTTCTTTTTATAATTCATGTTTTCAAAAAAAAATATTGTTAGTTGAATTTTGTTGTCAACATTTACCATGTGTTGAAATATATGATAAGGATACTAAAAAAATCCGCACATAATAATCTGTTATATTGATGTAACATATGTTTGATGATCAACAGCCACAATAAAACGGGTGCGCAATTTTTATTCCAACTTTTTATTAGTTTTGCATATCCTTAATTCTTCCAAAAATGAAAATGCAAGACCAAAAAAGCAAGTCATAGAATTAAAGCTAATGCTATGGTTTCGTTCTGTTGATATATTATGTTATCATGGAGAAATTAAGCATCAAAGTTGCGTGTGTTTATTATGTTACTTCCTACAATTGTGTACAATATATGTAGAATATTTGTTGCTGTAAATAATAGGTATGTAGTATATTTGGACGTGGTTATTTGATTGAGAAATTAAAAAAATAATCCAAGAAAAGTTAGAATGGAGGAGAGGGCGTGGTACAGTTTATTATTAATTTAATTGAATAAATAAAAAAATCCATGTAATTTTTTAAAAATTAAATTATTAATTATTCTAAAAATTATTCTAAATATAATAAAAGAATGCTAATTAATAGTTTCAAAAATTTGTTATAGATTTTCTTCTTGATTAAATAACCATTTAACTGCCTCTAATACATTATCAGCAATATGTTTAGCAGGATTTATAGCATGGTTATCAATACCCTGATATACACCTGTTTTAACCAATATCGATATCCAATTATAATCATTTGCTCCTTTAATGTCTAAATAATAAATAAATAAATATTTCAATAAATTATTTAGCAGAGTAGATTATATTAATTGGTAGAAAAGAAAAAACTAACCTGAATCAGGATTATCTCCGATTGCTAATAATCCAAAAAAAAATTAAATGATAATTTTAATAATAAATAAATAATCAATTCCAAAAAATCAGAAAATAGATATATGTTTACCATAAACTCTTCTCCTTTCACTCTCTTTACGAACAACATCATCATGATTAGTAAGTCTTGAACCGGTTGATTTATAAGCATAGTTTTCCAACAGTTTTTCTGCATATTTATAAGTTATAGTTTCAGGTTTACCAAATGATACATATTTGGGATCATGACCTGTCAAACACTAATATCAATTAATCAATTATGTGATTTGAGAGCAAGAAGAAGAGGAAAAAATAATAATAACAAAATCTCTATGAATTGTTTTTTTTTATTTGATTATTGCTTACTTTAAATAATACTTCAAAATTTTTTCTGAATGCACCTTGAGCAAATCTTGGTAACGTAAAATTATTTGTCCATATCTAAAACAATCATATAAACAAAAAAATATACATGTGTATGTGTGTAAATTATTTATAATTTCTTATATATAATTAACAAGAAAAGGAAGGAAGTAAAACTTTAATACTTACAATATCAGGGTTTGAGAAAAATAAAGGAATTTGTTTTAATATTAGTTCATCTTTAGTACACAAAGTACCAATATAACCGTTCTTACTACGTAGCACATCAACCATTATTTGTATATCTCTTCCCCCTAAATAGTAATGATGATCATGATAAAGTGAGAGAAAGAAAAATTTTCTCGGAAAAAAAAGATAGAAAAAAGATAATAACTACAATCTCTACTATCGTGAAATACCATGATTGCTTCTATTGGTTCTTTTGATAAATCTATTTTCTAATAATAATATTGTTATCGTTATTGTCATCGTTAGTGTTATTATAATTATAATATGACAAACAATTCTCTAAAATACCTTAACATATTTGTAATCTTGATCTTCGAGCTGGGAAAATGGACAAATACTTGGATCCCAAGCTATCACATCATTTGGTAATATGACTTTATTAAATCCATAGCTATTATATGGAATTTTGATAATATAAATATAACATCCACACACATAGTAATGATTCAAGATTATAATATTAAGTAGGTACCTTTCAGCAACCTCTCTACAAGAATATTTATATCCGCCTATCACCAAAACATTTGAATTCATAAATGTCGATGTTAAAGATCTCATTGGTGAATGCGCTAATACAATTTGTTCTTCCGATATCTATAAAAATCATATATTTTAATTATCGATTATTTTTTTTTTACCAAAAAAACAATAATTCATAAATTCAATCAAATAAATGCTCATAACTTACAGGAATTCCAAACATATCTGATAATTCAATAGCTTTCTTACGTTCAGTAACTCCGCCACCATTTGTTAATAATATAAAAGGAATTATTCTATATAATTTTTTATTACAATAATAGTAATTATGAACAACAAATGAATTATTATAATCATTATATTCATCAAATTATTAATATTATTTACCAACTTTTTTAATTTATTTTCACCTTTTAGAATTCTAAGAGCTTCTCTCGTCTCTGGTATAACATTTGTGCCCTTTTTTTTAATTTTAGCATAAGAAAAGAGAAGAGAGAAAATCCGTTAAATTTTTTGCAGAGTATGCACATATACATGTATAAAAAACCAGATATTCATACATACTTTAATAAGAACCCCATCAATATCTAAACATACGCCATAATTACGAGCAGGAGAATTAGAATTAGAAGACCAACGATAATTGACAGAGTAACAAAAATGATTTTTGATTTTTGATTTTTTGTTAAAAGAATTAAGATGATTAAAAAATAATCTTGACATTATTATTATTATACTATTACTATCAAATGTCGAAATGTCGGTAGAATGAATCTTTTTTATCTTTTTATGATCCTAAAATTACCGATTTTTTGTCGTATATGGTACGAATGAATTTATTACATTTAGAATGTTGCACGTAATATTTAATTCGTGAATGCGGGTGATATGCATTATTAGAATTCCAACCAATAAAATTCAAGAATTAAAAAAAATTTTGTGCAGTCAATGTCACACCAGAGTGGTCACATAAAAAATCTCATTAATTTTTATGAGACCATATATGGTATGGAGTGAACATTTGTATTACCAAGAATTCCATAGGTCAAAATTTAGTAATTAATTTTATCTGTTATCTTTTTTTTTAAAGTGGTATATAGAATTTCTCTTAAATAAAAATAATTAATATGGTTGGCTCGGTCTAAAGACCTCACGCGGCTGCGCCACACGCTTAAATTCCAAAAATTGCGATTTCGTGATTCATTCAAAAATGCAATAAAATTTTTCAAAAATTCCACATAATTTTGGTTAAAAAATTATTTTCCTTCCTGCCAAATTTAAATACGATTGTTGAATATTAGTCTAAATTAGGGATGTTACTCATGTATGCCAAATACCTAATATAGTAAAAATTGAGTTGAGAAAATAAACGTATATGGTTTAAATTAAAATTTATATAAAAGTTTTGTTTCCAGTTGATTTCTTGATAGTTTGGTTCTCGAAATCGAATTTGTATTTCTGGTTAGAACTTTTGTGTTTGCACTGTAAATATCTACATAATAATAATATATAATAAAAATAATAACGACCATAATAAAATGCCTAAATATGATAGGTCAATATCACTTTGTAACACTTGAGTACTCATGAGTGCAGATCTTTCTATTAATAGTATGATATATGAGTACTCACGGTACTCATGTTACTCATGAGTAACCTATTATGAGTACAAACACTAGTCTAAATCTAGTAATGACGATCGAAAACTAGTCTAAATTTAGCAATTATATATATATATATATATATATATATATAGCACTACTAATGAGCAAATGAGCAAAGTACATGTTTTAAAAAATACCAAGAGTTATTTTTTTAAAAGGTAGGACAGAAAATGACTTTTATACTTTTAAAATTTGCACAAAATTTAGGAGACCTTTAGACTGAGCCAATTATATGAAACTCATTTATGAAAGAGTACCTATGAAATTTACCAAGAAAGGAAAACCATAATCTGTAAAAGAACTCTATCACAAAACCATGAAGAATTTAGAAAAAAAAGAAAATTGGAAGGGAAATAATTTACTGCATAACTTAAATTGTTCTTTAACACTTATTTCAATCACTCCTATACAAACTATTAAATAATTGATAAAACATTCATTAGTATATTTTGTTCATATATCTTATCCTTAACACTTACTTCGATCACTCCTATACAAAATATTGAACAATTGATAAAACATTCGTTAGTATATTTTGCAAGCTTCATAAATCTTGTCCTTAACACTTACTTTGATCACTCCTATACAACTATTGAATAATTGATAAAACGTTCATTAGTATATTTTGTAAGCTTCATAGATCTTTTCCTTAACATTTATTTCAATCACTGTTATACAAACTATTGAATAATTGATAAAATGTTCGTTAGTATATTTTGTTCATAGATCTATTTCTTAACACTTACTTTGATCACTCCTATACAAAATATTGAATAATTGATAAAACATTCGTTAGTATATTTTTCAAGTTTCATAGATCTTATACAAACTATTGAATAATTGATGAAGCATTCATTAGTATATTATGCAAGCTTCATAGAACTTGTCCTTAACACTTACTTCGATCACTCCTACACAAACTGGATCTTAATATCCTCAAGAAATGATGATTCGTTGTCATCGTTTGCTACTAATATTATTGTTTAATGTTGTTATAACAACTACTGATTGATATTACAAATGTAACCAATCAAATTGATTAATGTATTTTTTCTCTTTTTCTCTTTTTTTTTTTTAAAAAAAAATGTTTCCTTCTAAATAAAATAAATAATAAAAATTAATAAGAGGTC